CCAAGGTCAGGCATGACAATACCTAAGACATGGGCAAGCACAGTGGAAACTCAAGACTCACTCATCTCAAGAACATTGTTGTCAACAGCAGCAAGTTGATAAAAAGGCAATGGTGTCACTCTGGAGACTAAGGTGGCCTGATACAGGCCATGGTCTTTGCAATCAGTTGTTACACGTCAGAGAGCTGGACAATGACTAGGGAAGATAGAAGAAGAATTGATGCCTTTGAGCTGTGGTGCTGGAGAAGAGTATTGAATGTATTCTGGACTGCCAAGAAAACAGATTCATCCTAGAGAGGGTTAAACCAGGCTGCTCCTTGAAGGCAAAGATTCTGAGGCTTCGTCTGACATACTTTGGACATGTTGTAAGGAGGAACCAGTCCTTGGAGAGGAACATCATTCTTAGAAGGGTGGAGGGACAGCACAGCAGGGGAAGAGCCTCTCTGACATGGATTGATTCAGTGACTTGAGTAATCGGGGTGAATGTGTTGGAGACAGTGAGATTGATAGAGGAAAGAACAGGGTTTAGGGCTGTTGTACATAGGGTCTCTATGAGTCGCAAGCAACTCGATGGCACATAACAACAACAACAAGGGAAGCAGGAGAAAGGATGATTATTAGTTCAAAACTCCCATTTACTCAGTAAGCCATATATGTACATCAACATTATTAATATTAGATGATGTGGTGTGAGGAGCAGGTTTCTGAAGCTGGACACTAAATCAGTAACCTATTTTTGTCAGACTTCACTGTTGGCTTGCTGTGTAACCTCGGGCAATCTTGCTTGATCACACTTTGCTGCCAAAGAAATTGCAAGCAGTCGTCAAATTTTCTTTTTAAGAAGAAAGTGGCTCTTAACCATCACTGATGGACTGCTGGCTCCCCCCACTGTCCATGTAGGCAGATGCCAGGTGAATGATTTCTGAAAACTAGTTGGTGTTTCTGTACCAAAGATCAAAACCACTTGGAGTTGATTCCTACTCACAGCAGCCCTATAGGACAGAGTCTAGCTACTCACATGGGCCCCGAAACTGTAAACCTTTATGGAAGCAAGCTGGCTCTTCTCATCTCTCTCTAGTGGAAGGAATGGTTCTAATATGTTTTCTCATTTCCACTACAAAATATTGTAAAATAAGTAATACAAATGACATAAAATTTTAAATGAAGATTAAAAACCTTAACTTGCTCCTGACTTAAAGCCAGGTAAGTGTTGATAATGGTGTTGGATTCCTCAATCTCCTGATATTCCATTCTTCCCACTGTTCTAGCACTTCCTTCTTTAGCTCTTTGGTGTACATGGAGTCCTCTCATAATGTGGTTTTATATTTTTCCTTATAGCCATGTCTTTCTGGGGTGCCAGACTAACATTGCATAACTGGGCTCAATAACTCAGAGGATTAGGGAAAGTTTGGAGGACTTCAGGTTCACTAGTGTCACAGGGTGTCACATTTGGCAAAGGCTTGCGTGGATTACCATCTTTTTCATAGTGGCTACTTCATATCTTATCTCCTTCACATTGTTCAATAGCTTTACAAATCACATTAGCCAGTAAAAGATGCATTAGAAGAAGAGAGGAGTGAATCAAACCTGTCAATGAAATCTTTGCATCAAATTGTGAGGTGTTTGCTTTGTTTGAAATTAAGTCTTATCTGGGAATCATCTTCAGGGGGTATTTGGTTATCTTGTGACAGAAGCAATGTCCCATTAGCACAAGTAATTAAGACATCTTGTTTGTTGCCACCAAGATACTGACCCTATGAACAACATATCTGAACCATGTCCTATCTGGTGCCATTCGCATCGTCTCTTACACACTTGAGCCCATTTTGCAGTCTCTGTGTTGATCCATCTCATTGGGGTCTTCCTTTCTTTTGTTTCCAGTAAGAAGACTGACTTACCATCTTAGCATCAAAGAATATTGCTCAGGTCCATACTTGCCCTCCTTAAAATAAAATAAAATCTGACCAAAGAGGTGAGAACTGAATGATCTAGCCTTATAGATGTGCAAACATTAGAAAAGAGAGGTGTGTTAACACCCAATGGTGTTATCTATAGAAAGAAATGTAGAATATGGAAGCACTGTAAAAAAGTGAAAAAGAAATATATGGTAAAGGTGGAAGGAAATATACTCAGGTATTTTCTAGAATTCGACTCTCCTGATGGTTCTTCAACCCAAATCTGAAGTTATGCCCTTAGATGTTAACAATGGAATACACAAGAGTTGATGTACTTCAAGCTCAGATGCAGTCATTCCACCAGATTGTGTGAGAACTAAGTTCAAACTTTAGCTCATGAGGAATGTGTTTGGTAGCCGTTAAGAAAATAAGTATCTCTGGGCTATCCGTGATTCTGACACGGATGCAAAATATTAGCCTGTTCTTTCTCCTTTGGCCTCAGGAGCTGCAATGAAATCCCATGATTTAATTGCTCCAAATCCACATGGCTCTTCTGAGATAGGACCAGATGCAACCAGAAGGATTTATAGACTGTAACACTCAGAATGGATTAGGAAAGCATTTCTGTGTTCTGCCCAGCACATCCTAAATCAATGGCCCTTGAATGGACCAGCGCAATCTCTGGCTTGTCTAGTGGGGAGGTTGTCATGGCAACTGACTGGCAAGCTCAGACGATGGAATGTGAATGCAAACAATGGAGCGAAGCGATTGTGTACAGAGTAACATACAGAGAGAGAGCTGCTTCTATCCAGGCAAAATGATGCATCAGTAAAAAAAATGTGAAACGGTCTTTACATTTTTGTACCTTCTTGCAACTCTGGAAACTCACTTGGAATGTATTAAGTGTCCCTTCCCAGGTGTTCAAAAAGAGTTGCTACAAATAAAGATAAGAAGGTGGGGGCACACAGGGGATCAGCGCGAGTAGAAGTGCGAACATACAGAAAATTTCAGAGGGCTGTGAGGCTTACTCTGAAAATACCCTAATGGAGTAAGTACGCCTAAGAGAAAGCCTGTAATTCATTAGCGCCACCTTGTGTTTGGTGAAAATAAGCTCTCTCCTTTATGTATGCAAATACTTGACCTTAGAAAGAACTGCTTCGCAGGGTAGTCAAGGCTGTGAGCTTTTCAGATCCGAAATCCTGGTCTGTCTTCTGACACATTTCTAACTGGGTTAGAATCATTTACTTCAGGCTACTAATTGAGCACTTACCCATTGCACCACCCAAGGCGCCTCTCCTGTCTTCTTGTTATTATGTGCCTTCCAGTTGACCAAGATCCATAACCACCCTATGAATAACAGATCACAACCTTGTCCTGTCTTGCACCATCCTCATGACCTCTGCCAAGTTCAAGCCTATTGTTACAGTTACTGTGTCAATCCATCTACTTGAAGATCTGCCTCTCTTTCCCTGGCTCTCTAATTTCCCCAGCATGATGTCTTTTTCCCAAGAACTGGCCCCTCCTAACAGTATGCTCAGAATATGAGAAATAAAGTTCCACCATCCTTGCCTCCAAGAAGCACTCTGGTTTCACTTTCTCCAAGACAGATTTGTTTGTTATTTTAGTATTCTGGGAGGTATTAAATTCTCTTCACCAACACCACAATTCAGAGGCATCAGTTTTTCTTTGGTCTTCCTCATTGATTGTCAGATGTATAGAAAACACCTGAAAATACCATGGCTTGGGTCAGAAACAACCTTGCCTCTAAACAGATACTGATTTTTTTTTTATCACTTTAAAGAGGTCCTTGCAAACAGATTTTCCCAAAGCAACACACTTCTTATCTTGTTAGACAAGAAATATTTACTAAAAGCTCACTTTCAAACTCATTGCTGGGCAGTGGCAGGCACAGATTGAAAAAGTTAGAGCTGGAATATTTTGGAGTTTGTTAATCCCTTTTGCAGTAGAAATACATATATGTGAGTTTTCTTTTGTATTAGCCAATTCTTTTTGGTAAAAAAATGAAAGAAAGAAATACATTGAGGTTTCTAGTACCAAAGCTTATCAGAAAAATGAAGATCAACACTGTTGATAGAATCTGGTAATTGGAATGAAGAAACTGCCAAATAACCGTGCTAGAAAGGATTTTAGAGACTACATGGTGAGCTGAAGAGCTCTGATGGTTCAGTGGTAACAAATTATGCAGCCAGCACAAAGGCAGGCAGTTCAAACCCACCAGCAACCCCGTAGAAAAAAGATGGGCAATCTCCACCATTCTTAGTTACTCTATCTGAAAAGGAATCTGCTCATGTTTCTCTTGTGAAGCCACTGGTAGAATTGAACTACCAGAGCAAGTAGCTGTTTTGCAGCTTTTAGTTAGAACCCATTCCTAGTTAACCCTCCAGTGAATTTTCAGAGGCTGTGAATCACATGAGAGTAGCCTGCCCATCTTTCTAACACAGAGCAACTGGTAGATCCCGACCACCTGCCTTTGGGTTGACAGTGCCTCGCCTTTCTACTGGGGCACCAACGCTCAGTCAGTAGCTGCTGCTGTTGTATATCATAGAGCCAGAGCCGACACAGAGCTGACCTTCCAGTGGTTTTCAGAAGTAGTTAAAGGAACTGGAGGAGATTATCAGCCTCTTGCCGAGCAGGTGGTGGACTCACACCATGTGTTTTGGGGATTATAGTGCAGCCTTTTCCACTAGGCTACCAGAGCTCCCTCAGAGTGAGGAGAGAGAAATAAAATTTGATTCCACTTAATAACTCTTGGTTTTAATTCCTAGGGAACCTGATGGTAGCATTTCATTCACCTAGTGAGTAGGAGTTGGTTCTAATCCACCAGCTGCCCCTCCGAGAAAGATGGGACGTCTCCTCCTGTTTGATTACTGCCTCTAAAAACCCGCTGTAGGGTCAGTGGTCAGCCGGTTCCAACTCAGAGGCAATGAGTTGGGTTACCCACCTCTCACTTTTAACCCGAAACTAATGCCACCCACCTCTCCGTGCTGTCCCACTATCCACCATCATCATCAAAACCCATAAAGGCTCATTTCCTTTGGGCACAACTCTGTAATAACCCAGCTGTGTTTCTGTGTGTTCCCTCCAGGGTTTGAGTTCTTTGAAACAAGTGCCAAGGATAACATAAACGTCAAGCAAACATTTGAGCGCCTGGTGGATATCATCTGCGACAAGATGTCAGAGAGCTTGGAGACCGACCCGGCCATCACCGCCGCAAAGCAGAGCACAAGACTCAAGGAAACCCCGCCTCCGCCGCAGCCCAACTGTGGCTGCTAACGTCCCACGCGCAGCTCCAGGGCGCCTACTGGCCGACACGCAGCGTTTCGAAGTGGTCGATTAGCCTTCATTTATACTGCCTAATAATTATTTGGGGGAAATCTTTGATGTTGATGCCTCATAAATGCATCCAATTCCTGAGAGATTTCCTGTGTTCCTATGTGGCGAATATGTGATCTTAAATTTAAGGACTATCCATCTATAAACATCTGGTATTTGCATGTGAATAGTTATTTATTTGTCTTCTAGGCTCACCCCCCCCCTTTCTTTCAAAATTCCTTTTCAGTCAAGCTACTGCTGTGACCTCAGATGATAATTTTACAGCTGATTTTTTGTGCCACGGACTTAAATTGTGCCCTTCACTTGTAGAGATGACCGAGAAAGTGTGTGTATGTGCGTGTGCATAAGCATACATACATAATATGTGTACACACACTAGCGGAGAGATCTCAGGAGACTTCATTTGCTTCACTTTGAACTGAAATCAAGTGGAAATACTACTCATAATCAGGGAGGCTGTCATGGGGCCAGTTAGTTACTGTTCAGGAAATGTGTCTGTTGTTCACTGTTATTAATATCTGAGGAGACCATTGACCACAGGTAAATGGAAATACTGTTTTGAAGGCCCTTGAAAATTTCCTAAGGTATTAATATCCACATGGCTTGAACTAGAATGGAACACAGCTTTTGTGTACATGTTTAAATAAGCAAGTGCTCTGACCCAGGATGGCTGTTTCCACTGACTGGCTAATGCTCTAAGTGTCGGTAAAGCTAAACAGAATGAAGAATCACTGGGTGATGCATATGACAGATGTGCTTAGCTGCTAGCTTAAAGGTTGGCAATCCCAGACACTCAGAGGTGCCTCAGGAGAAAGTCCTGGTGATCTACTCCCCGAAAACCAGTCATTGGAAACCCCGTGTTGCAGAGTTCTACCCTCACACACATGAGAAAGTGTTGGCTCTATGGCCATTGGTTGGTTAGTCAATTGGAACAAACTGACACTTACTTGCTAAATGCCTATTATGCAACAGACTAATACCCTAAGGAGGGTATTAGTAGCTGTAGAACCTGAAGGCCTAGATTAATGATTTGCTTTTCATCACACATGTCAAAACCATAACCCTGGCCAATGAGTTGGAATGATCTCCATCTTTTGAAATAGAAGTTGTGTGTTGAAGTTTCCTAGGAGTCCTCTCACCATAAGATATGGATTTATTTCTCTAGCTTTTGCCTCCAATCCAAAATACAGCTCAATTCTCTTACCTAATTAGAAGTTATTTAAACCCTCGATCCTTGGGTCCCAGGTTGAGGCAAAGACTTTTTTTCAGTGAAAGTGTTATAATTCCAAAGAGCATCTCTCTTAGTTTAACCTTTAAACATGCTATGAGACTCTGAGAATACGCTTTGGAAGTGAGGGTTACAGAAACAGTATTCCACAAGCAAGTGGGAGGAAAAGAATTAAAAATGGCAGATAAGTTATTACAGTTTTCCTGAAGGCTAGTTATGGATAACAAGTAAATCCCACGAGCTGTGCTGTGTCCTGGAGGTCCATTTGGCTTTGGTATCATTGTGGATCATTATTTACAGTGTCAGAAACTATTTGGTGGGTTTGGGAGAACTGTTAAATGTCAAAGGAGAGACCCTACCCATGAAAATGTCTAGTGCAACATACTGGGCAAGGATATTATCAGGAAGCATACATAAGTCTAAAGATATATCTATAGTACCAGCCATCCCTCCATATCTTTCAGGGAGGGAAGTCTATCCCTTCAAGGATGTAACTTTGTAGTAAATCTGTCATTACTATTTTACCCTCAAGAAAAAAAATAAATAAATACCAACAAGTCAGAGAACTAATAAACCGTTAACTCTTCTTAAACCCTAACTCATGGAAACTCAACATACAACAGAAGGGAATGTTACCTCAGTGTGCACCATCCCATAATCTATTATAGGTGGGACCATTATGTATGATCCATATGGTTTTCATTATTGATTTTCATAAGTGGATCACTAAGCCTTTCTTCCATTTTTACCACTGGCTAAATGCAAACTTCCAGTGTTTTAGTTAACAGCCAAATATTTTAACCATTACACCACCCGGGAACTGCTATTACTAAGTTGTTGCTTTGGGATGTTTTAATCATATGGAGGGGGTGTTTCTCACTTTTTGTTTGTTTCTTTATTTGTTTGTTTGTTTGTTTAAGATCCTATTTTTAAGCTACAAATTTCACTATTTGACTCTACTAATTGATAATAAATTTCTACTTTGGCAACCTGCAAAGCAAACCTGAGACTTTAGTGAAGACAGGAAAACATCAATGTTTTATTAGGTTTTTAATTAGGCAATCAGCTTCAAGAATCATAGAAATTAGCATGAGAGGGAAGAAGAGAGTTGTAGAGCAGATTTTTTAAAAAAAACAAACACAAAACTACAGTAGTGTGCTGGTGTTAAACATGCCAAAGTTTAGTATTTTATTCCAGCCTGGGAAACATGATGCAGACAGTAAGTCCTTAGCAAGGAATATCCATTACTTTCTATTGCCCACAGGTCTTTGAAAATTAAGCCTTCCTGGTTAGTTCTCTGCCCTGGAGCTCTCAATCTGCTGTAAAGTCTGTTCCAGGAATCTGAATGAGAAATGTACAGAGAAGAGTGTCACAAAACTTCACGGAGGCACACCTGTTTTCCTTCTCTAGCACAACCAAGGAATGATGCTTAGCTCCGCCCCAATCATGTTAGAGATCTTGAATTTAAAATCCAATTTGGCAGTGGGTGAATATGCCTAGTGAACATGGAAAGTAAATTCGTTTCTGTTGACATTAACTGTTAGTTCTTATCATTCATAGCACTGGGACATAGTTCATCAGGAGTTGTCTTGCTAAACCAAAGTCTGTGCCTCTCTGGTGATTTGAACCCACCACCAGCAAATCCATCTGAAGCTCCCAGGGAGAAGGCTAGGTAATTCCCTCCCATGCAATTTACAACCCCAGAAACCCAAGGGGGTTAGCTAGTATTCATTCAGTGGAGACTCTACAGCAATGAATATTAAGTCAGTCCCCAAATTTTGGGCCAGTACATCAATAGGCACTGTACCTAAATCTTCTCCATCTACTGCAACAAGATAAATCCCCACAAGCCATTTATCAGCAACCACTCCACATTTGCAGTTAAAGAGCAAGATGCCTGAGATAGTAAGAAGTTGTATTAGTTCCTAAATTCTTGGCGTTCACTCCTGCTTGTCTTGAGGACGTTAGTATTTGGAGTGTGGATTTCTCTTGCCCCGTCTCCTCAGCATCACCCTCTAATGGCTTGTTAGGAAGGAACTTTGGTTTGTTTTGAACAGGTGGTTCAAAGAGCTGTAATGTTGGGATAATGCTTTCCCCTCCTCATTTGCTGGAGACGCCAAGATAAAAAGAATCTAAATCACCAGCCTCAGACTCGATCATCATTTTTATTTTGGGGGCAATTAGAAGGGATCTGCATGTGCAGAGTGTGTCTTAAGTTTTCAGATGACAATTTCAAAAGTTAGCATCATATCTATGGGCTGTTAAGACACTTAAGATGCTTAATACCTCTTGCTTGGAGGTAATGAATCAGGTCCTTGTGGCTATTTCTGCTGAATTGTTTAGTGAGCTTATAGAGACTGAGAGAACCAGAGGATTTTTTAGCTAGTAGCCTAGTCAGTCAGGGATAAGATTTTTATGTGGCAAAGGAACTATGACTATCCTTTTCGTTGTAAAAAAAAAAAAAGAACTATCACATTGTTATGATAAAAGTGACAGAGAATTTCTAAAAACTTAGAACCCAAATGACAAAAGATAGAGATGAAATACTTCATTCACTGACTTAACTCTTGACCTAGATCAATTACAGTCTTTATGTTTAGCATATGGGTTACTTTTGGGGGAAGCAGGTTCATTTCTTTCTAACCACATCTATGCTGAGAACAGACTTTCAGGTATACAGTGTGTTTGGTTTGTTTTTGCTATTTACGTAGATTCAGCCTGCTATTAACTGAATTTCCATGAAGCAGCATTAATGCTGGAGTGAGTGTGAGCTTTGCTAATCAGTGGTTCGTTGTGACGTTCTCTTAGTGCATGGTGAGGATGTTTGATGTCAGTCACGTGGCATTTGTGGGACTATATTAAAAATGTCTACCAAGATGAGGTAGCTGCTGCATGTGAAAAACTGTGATAGAAATCTTGTATTAAAGTCATAACTATATTCCTTCTAGACCAAAAAAGTTACTCCTTCTGTGTTTGTTAATAAGGTCCCTAGCATCACTGGGATGTTTAATCAGGTAGTCTTGGAACTGCATTCTTGAGAGCTGGCCTGTCTTTTCTAAAGACTCTGTTTTCTCCATGTTACAGTGTATGGCTGGTGACTGGCACTCTTTGTTCTCTGGCTGTAGACTCTGTGTGCAAAGTCAGGGTGTGCAGGAGCTACTAGGTCCGTGTGGTCTTTCTAACCACCCTGGAAGACCCTGGCTCTACAGCTCTGCTGAGCGCTGCCTAGCACACACTGCCTGTGCTTTTATTTAATTTACAAGTTAAATGGTAAAGCCTCATGTGCTAAACCATTTCAGTATTTAGTCAGGGTTGTTTTGGTTTTAATTTTTTGTGGATTTTTTTAAGAGTTCTTTAATTTTAACTGAATTTTTGACCAAAGGCATCATCTTGCTTTACATCCCAGAACGAGTTTAGACAAATCGAGTGCACGATGAAATTTGTGACCAGAAAAATGGGCCCTTGGCCTTTCATTTCATTGCAATGACTGTAAATTCTAGAAAAATACATTATCCCCTAAGGGACCAAAAACCGGACTGGGGAATTTATCTAAAATGTTTTTGCCTACTATTATTAGTGCCTCTAGATAAAAGCAGTTATGTTTTTTATAAAAAAAAATTTTACAGTACATGGTTCGAATCCACCAGATGCTCTGCTGGAGAAGGAGGGGCAATCTCCTCCTGTGCCAGTCAGATCCGATTTGACGGCACACACACACACACACACACACACACACACACACAAAATTTTAAAAATAAATTTTAAAAAATTACAGAAAGTTTGGCATGCTAGTAAAAAATTATTTTCCTTTATAAAATAATAATGATATGAGTGTTACTATGATTACAATATTCACCTAGGACCAAACCCGTAGTGCTACCTTGCAAGCACACATACACTCATATAGAGATTTTGATTTTTTTTTTTAATTAG